CCCGGTCCTGCCCCGCCCCCTGCTGCTGTTGCAGGAGCTTGGCGGCCTGCAGGATGGGGTCGGCCGGCAAAGAGAAGGAACGAGCACGAGGGCGGCGATATTCCTGCAACTCCTCCTGCTCCGGGAGAGCCGCCTCTTCCTTCTGCGACAGGGGCCTGCCCTGGAGCTGAGCGTCAGGGATCGGGGTCTGGGTGGTGCCACCCTGAAGGCAAAGGCCCTCAGGGACAGACAGCCCCTCCGCAACCGGGGGGTCTCCGGAAGGCGTAGAGCTGGGCGCCTCAGAACTTTGCAGCTGCTCCCCCATTCGGCTCCGGGACTCGTCCGGACGCAAACGCGGTGCTGGAGACTCAGCTAGAAACTTGTCTACTCCGGCAGCAGAATGAGGGCATCGCGCCCGCTGGGCTCGCCCTCCCTAGCTTAGTCTAGCCAGGCTGGAGAGCTGAGAGCAGATTCAGCCTGGAGCCTCCAGCTTTTAGCTGAGGCTGCCCGGGACCAAGAGGGAGGAGGATGCTGGCCTGGGGCTTGATCCCAAGGGGAGGGCCAGGGGCGGGGAGGTGCGGCCTCCACAACACCTGGGAACCAGGGCCCGAATGGAAATTAAGACTTTCTGAAGGTCGCAGCGTAGCTGATAGTCTTGATCCTCCCCACAGTAGCGCCGCGTCGGTCCCACCTCCGGGGCAGTTCGCAACTTTCAGAGCCCAGAACGTAGACAAAGTTTCCCAGCCAGTGAAGTTAGTCTTCCCGAGAAGTGTTGTCGCCCCTCAGTGACATCCCGGCTGCCACCAGCCTAGGGAGTTCGCGATGTAAGCATGTTGTTGAGGCTAGCAAGCTAGCCCGGTGCATCCCTTCTCTTTCACCCTTTCTCCCCCAGACTCCAGGCATCCCTGGGTCGCATTCGTGCAGTTGCCCCTTAGTGCTCCTGAAAGCTGGGAGGCTTGGGCTGCAGCTTCCACCTACCTAACCGGTGACCTTGCCGGTGGGCTTGCTACAGGACAGAGAGAGAACCCACCAGGAGCGGACACAGCGGCCAGCCCAGAGCAGCCGGAGGCCATTCTCGCCTGGCACTAGAGCACGTCCCTGGTCCTCCTCCTTGTCCCGCCCGCAGATCTGGATGGCGAAGAAGACAGTTAGCACCTCCCTTCGCGGCTGGGCGCCTTCCCACAGCCCACAGCCTGTACTGCGATTTTCTCCCTAAGGATCCCGGACCACTACAATACAGCCAAGGCATTGTAGGGGGTGAGACCAAAGTCTAATCACTGAAAGATGGATGGGAGAGCGCTCTACTCTATCCTGACATTGTAAATGTTGCATTGTTCTTTTGCCTTCAGGCCAATCTGCCTTGTTCAAACTTCAACTGATAACTCCATGAACAATCATCACACCCACCTCTCATGCCCTGATCCCTATATCTGATATGGGGTTCCAGGGGGTACCTGAGAGGATTCCTAACAGGGAGACACTGAGGCTAGGCTCTGGGGACCACAATTTTAGGAATGATTAACTACTTGACGTGGTTATGTGTACAGTTACTTACATAAAAAGTTGGGCCAGGCGGTTGTGGCACACTTCTTTAATCCCAGCACCTGGGAGGCAGAGGCAGGCAGATCTCTGAGTTCAAAGCTAGCATGTTCTACAGAGCTAGTTCTGGGATAGCCAAGGCTACACAGACAAACCCTGTCTGGAAAAAACAAAACAAACAAACAAAAAAAACAGAAAGGCAATGTAGGGGGTTCTACAAACATTAATCCACTAATCAAGAAACAAAAGGCAAGGTTATCTTACCCAGGCTTTATAACTGAAGCTTAATCCCTAAGCATGGTATGGCAGAATGTAACGTTCCCAGGGCATTGGGCATATTGGGAAGTAGGCAAGGATCATATTCATAGATGGTATCTATTGAGGGCTCACAGGCTGTCCATCCCTCCCCAAGGCTGAGGGCCCTTCCTGTGTGAGTTTATGTGCACAAAATCTCTTATCTGTATGCAGCACATAAAGGCTGGGAAGAACTGTCTGTTCACGCCTCACAACTGGGCGGTAGCCAGGTTTGATCTCAGGCGTTTGGGAAATGTCTTCTACAGCCAAGGAGCCAGAGTTGGAGAGGTGTTTTGAGGAAGGGACACGGTGGTCCCTTGCCTGGGATCTTACCATCATTAAGTGCCCGTGTAGAACTCCATGGCTACATCTTAACTTTGCCTGGGCTCACAAGAAAATCCAGATGCACCCAGAGTGCCCCTCCCCACAAGCATCCTCAAGGTCTAGGACAGAGGACATTGCTTTTACATATAGACATTGGTTTGTTGTGATACTAAGTACAGTATTCGAAAACTAGTTTGAAGGTGAAATAGGAACTTGAAAGAGATTTTGAGGTTGGGGTGTATTGTATCCCTCTCAGTAAGGCAGATTAAGCTTGGGCTCTTGCTCACACCAAAAAGTGCCTTGTCTAAAGTCAATACTTTGATTCTCAAGTGGGTATCCAACAGTTCAAGATATAACATGGCAAAGTGATTTAAGATTCAGGGATGGCTGGAGGTGATATAGTACATGGTTGATCTTCATGGGGCACATACATGTTCAGAGCATGATCTATCAACAAATGGCCCATCAAACAAGCCCACATAAAAAGTCAGTGGTTTCAACAAAAGTGAAACCTTTCTATCCCCTGAAAAATAACCTAGGTAACATTATCATCATGACCTACGCATCAGAGGTGTTCTCCATAGCAAAGCTAGTGGGAGACTAATATGTTGCTTAGATACCTAATCTCCAAGATTTGTGCCTTTTGAAGTCAACTAAAAGCAAGTGAGGCAAGAGGGTGGGTCTCCCCTCAGCTTCATGTGTTTTCATTATGCTGCAGTGGGTCTGCAGCTTGGCAGGTCTAGACTGAGCTCTGATGAGTGTAAGCAGAAGGATGTAACTTGTGGAGGGAAGGAATGAAGATAAGCAGGAAAGGTCTGTTCCCCAGAAACCAAGGAAAGACCTTAGATTCAAGGGCGGTGAGCATGTCATTCATCCACCATGGGGACTCGGAGATACTCTGGAAGGCTCTGTCTCTGGCCTCCACTGCACTCTGTCCTCTGGCAGAGCTGGTGGGACACAGGACATTTCCCTCAGTCTTCCTCTCTGAGACAGGGCCAGGTGATCTGTGCTTTAAAGTTCTGGCTCCCAGAAGTGAAACAGATGGTCTCCAACTTAGAGATGGACCAACTTTTGGTTCTTTTTGTTCATGATGGCATGAAAGTGGCACACCTTCAGTAGAAACTGTGGTTCAGATTTTGAATTTGGATATTTCCAGAGGTTGTCAGGGAAAACAATGACACCCTGTATAGACAGCATTGTTGAGCTAAAGTGTACAGTAGATGAGGTACATTTGATGCAAATTTTTTTTAAAAAAATAGCTTTTTAAAATTTAGACCACCTAGTCTATAGATATGTGTTTAGGTCAGTCACAAACATCAAATGATCACAGTTGCTAAATTATTTACTCCAGGCATTCAGATTCCTAGTTTGTTTTGTTTTTTGTTTTGTTTTGTTTTGTAAAGCTAGGAAGTGCTTGCTACATAGTCCAGGCAGGCCTCAAACTGTGATCCTTCTGCCTTTCCCTAAAAGGCTGGAGCTGGGGTCATCTGATTTCTAAGTCTGGGGACTGGGAAGTCTCAAATGGTACAAGGAAAGTCAGTAGAAAAGAAAATTCCCTTTTGCATTAAAAACAAAAATGTTCAGGCAATGTTACAACCCCATACTGTGGTCTGGCATCCTCAAACCAAACCACCAAATGTTTCAGCTGGGTCACAGGCCACCCTTGTGCAACATGGGACATTTCAGCTGCTCACCTGATTGCACTGCCTCACAACAGAAATTATGAGTGAGTAAACCAAAATCTGGACAAGTGTCACAGCAAGCCTTACACCTGCCAAAGTCACACTGCAGGCCTAGTATGTCAGATATTTCACAACCTGTTCTGGCCTTCCAATATGACAGGACACATGGAAATTAAAGGCATGCAGACAGGGGCCAATGTGACCAATAACAACAGCCTTAAAGCAACTCCAACCTGGAGAATTGTCACTCTGACCCTGTCCTTAGACATCTCTAGTCATTTTAATGTATATGACATCAAGGCAAAAAGAGCTCAACCTAAATAGTCAAGACAATGAGGATGTGGCTGGCACACTATTTTCTTTGTTAAAATAGTACTCAATGTAACGATAAATCTTTACGTCAAACCACCTGAGCCCTGCAGCCCCGTGGGCACCCAGAATAACACACAGAGTCTTATATTAGTTTACAATGCTGCTGGCCAATTGAGTAGGATTTCTTATATGTTAGCTCAGACTTAATTATCATAAATCTATATATTTTATAAGACTTATCTTATCGAGGACACCTTCCATTGGTGTCCTCTTCCTGGGATCACATGGTGGCTCTGTAGAGAAGAGAGCGGGAGGAAGAAGAAGAGCAAGAGAGCAACTTCATGTTTGTCCCTGCTTATATATGAGTCTGCCTGCTATGTTACTTCCTGCTTGTATCACATGACTTCTTTACTACATTTCCCAGAATCCTCCTTGACTCCTAGTCCCTCCTAACTTGCTTTCCTATTGGCCAACAGTACTTTATTTATCAACCAATAAGACAAACATATACACAGGACCTCCTCCATCACTCCAGGGGCCTTCGAGGTGGCCCAGTGGATAAAGCACTGGGGTTCAGATCCCAGGGACACATGTGAAAGCCTGGCAGGTTGTGGCTGCTGCTATAATCCCAGCAGAGACAGGGGATCCCCAGGCTGAGCTGACTAGCTGGCCTAGCTAGAACCTGTGAGCCCCAAGCACACAAAGAAACCTTGCTTCAATAACATGGGTGTCCAGGTGTGGCAGTGTACACCTTCAACCCCAGCACTCAGAAGGCAGAGGCAGGAAGATCTTTATAAGTTTGAGGCCAGTCTGATCTTCATTAGTGAGTTCTAGGACAGCCAGGGCTACATAGTGAAATCCTATCTATATTCGCCAGGTGATGGTACCCCACATGCCTTTAATCCCAGCACTGAGGAGGCAGGGGCAGACTGATCTCTATGAGGTCAAGGCTAATCCACCTGGCTGTCCTAGAACTCATTCTGTAGACCAGGACATTCCTGAACTCACAGAGACCCATCTGCCTCTGCCTCCCAGGTGCTGGGATTAAAGGTATATACCACCAAGCCCAGAAATGTTTATGTTGTTTTGTTTGCTTGTTTTTGAGACAGGGTCTCTCTATATAGTCCTGGCTGTCCGGGAACTCACTATGATCTGCCTGCTTTGCCTTCAGAGT